TCCTAATGTGAATTTTACGATATCGCTTGCCAGATGTTTTATTGCATTTTACTTTCTCGCATTCTCAAACAAATATATATATATATATATATATATATATATATATATATTAGAGACAAATATATTGCGATGACCCACTGATCAGACCAAGAATACTGTATCCCTGTGAGTACAATGATCATCCTGCACGCACTTGTTTTGCCGTGTGCTCTGGTGAACCACTCACCCCTGGATCAGATCAAGACTACGGTATCGCTGTGAGTACACAAATCCGCGCTATCTACTCAATTATTGGCGGTAAAACCAACACAACACGAGCATTGATATTATCTCACACTCTTTGATAAGGAGTGTGCAGTAATTATTTGTTTTTATAATCTTTCAATTCAACATCAATTAAACGATGTCAAGAGTATCTTGTGTAGTGAAACATCTCATACAAGAAACAGTACAAGAAATCGTATCTTCACATTAGACTCAAGAAGATTCTACAACACCCATATGTAAATTGTGCAATAAATTGTATAATAAATGTATAATTAATCAACTCTCACAACTCTTGTATAAGCCCTTCCACCTATCTCCATCCCGGGCGTCTGCTAGGGCCGGCGGCAAACTAAGCTATTGAAGCATTGACAGTTCGAGCCAGGAATTACATCACTAATATCGATCAGTTTCAAATAAAATATATGTAATACATTTTATAAATTTGAAATGCTTAATAAAATAATATTAATCGCAAAAAAAGTATTGCATACTACATAGAATATTTTTGTAAAATGTTTTCAAAATAAATAATGTTTTGTTAAAAACGCAAATTTTTATACTTTTAGTGTCCGCAATTCCAAAATAATGAAATTAGTGAAGTGTATTTATAATTATAAAAATTATTATTTTATTATTTTGAATGTCGCACACATTTGTATTAAAATTTGTGTTAAAAATAAGCACACACATAAATCTGTTTTAATTTTAATTAATAATATTAGTGTTCTAAAAAATTATCTATGAAAATATTTGATTATTTAATTTTTAAATAAATCTTAAATTAGAAGTGGAAACTTACTTTCATTTGTAAACAATTTTTCGGTAAATTCCAAATTGGAATTTCTTTTCTATTTTGTAACAATAAATCTTTTAAAGATTTATTGAATTTTCTTCTCTTACATTTTGTCATATCAATCTGTTAAAAAAAATTGTATTAAAATAACGTAACTTAATTTTATCAGGATAGTATACAATGATGAAGGTAAATTTATTCTTTCTGTAGTCAAATATTGTATTGACTGTACTTACCAAAACTAAATTTAAAAGTATTTAAAATTTATTAAACGTGTATTATTATAATACAGTTATTGCATTATCAATTATTATAAATTCTCGTTATTTCAAAATATAATATTAAAATATATAAAATTCAAGTTATTAACCAAGTATAATGTTTTGTATTTATATATATCTGTTCGATTTTAAAGGTTTAGTTTATGGCTCGAACTGCCAATTCAATAGTTCAGTGGATTAGTCTCTCGGCAGGATAACTTTAAGGGAAATAATAATTGACAAGGCTGAGAAATATCATGTATTTATAAAATAATGTTTATTATTGTAAATGATTATAATAATATTGCACTGTTGTGTAGAGAGATAATTCTATTGAAGTAATGAGGGTGTGTGCTTGTATTCTTGATTATTGTAGCTTCCATGGATATGACTGAGTATCTTGAAGTTGAGGTAATACTGATGTTGTAAATATCAGCTGGTGTGGTCAATCAATCATGCTTGTGAGGTATGAGAAGATGGTGTTTGAATCAAGTATGCGTGATGTATGAATAACTATTCTTGATATGGTGTAAGATGTTTAATGGAATATATTAAGTAATCAATTGTGTCTTTAATTATTTAAGGGGACAGTAGAAAAATCTAGTCACAGGTAAGAGTGATTAATAGTAAGATTTCTAACTTTTGAAGGATTTAATAATATGTATTTATAGTCTATTAGTCGATCTGTTGTTGTCCTTCTGTGACAATGTGCTTAAGGAATAGCGACTCTTGTGTCAGCTGTTGATGGCCTGTACGATGTCGAAGTGTTAGTTCGAGAGAGCGTAAGCTTGCCCTCTCTCTGCTAGCGAGCCTGAATTGTTCGAGGTGTTCCTCGAAAGAGCGTGAGCGTGCCCCATCTCTGCTAGAGAGCCTGAATGGTTCCGAAGTGTGCTTCGGGAGAGCGTAACCTTACCTTCTCTCTGCTAGCAGGCCTGTACGGTTCCGAAGTGTTCTTCGGAAGAGCGCAAGTTTACCCAATCGACTCTTATGGGCCTGTACGGTTTCAAAGTGTTCTTCGAAATAGCGTAAGTTTGCCCGACTTGTTTTGTGCGAGGTGTGACTAACTAATTTATTAATATAAAAAGATGTATCTTGTGAGCTGCAGGCAAGGTGTATTAGTTGCTGTGTAATTGATGCCCCCCTTAATTACTATTCCATTGGCTTCACTGTAATCACTATCTAATCTGCCGATTTCTTATTCTTATGCACGCGTGTATTCTTAACTATGCTGCCGAATATATGGCCACTTGTCGTCGTCATAGTATACTAAAACACTGAGCGGCAATTACACTTGAGTGTAATGGTAAATAATGTAAAGCGTTCCGTGGCGGCTCTGCTGAAAATACTGACCGTTTCATGGCGGTTCTGCTGAGGGCAGATCGAGACCCGTGTGCCAAGGCTTCTACTGGTAGATGATTAAATCGGTTCACTATGGTCGGTCACTGCGGTCGAGTAATGGCAAGATGTTAGCCGCAAGCGCAGTTGGTCGAGGATGGTTCGGCAAGAGAGCCGGTCAACAAGCAAGAGGCTTCCAGCAAGAGATATTTTCAGCGAGAGGGCGAGACGCGCCGCGTGCGTCCCTTATATAGCCACGCGGCGGCTCACTTAGATGACAACAAAGCATTGTCGTAGTTGCACTAATTCTTACACGAGGCGTGGAAGGAAAAATCTAGAACCTTCGAGAATGTTCGACGAGAGAAAAGTAGGAGTAATATCTTTGTGTGATCTTATAGTATATTAGATTTCATGTCGTAAACTTGCTCGGACTTGCCGAGTTTTGTTTATAAACATTCGCCCGAGTGCACGTCCCGGTCCGATCGCGCGTGCCGTACGCCACACAGCGCGTATGACCTACTTTTTCTAAAATTCATGGAACTGCATCAATCTCAAACAATATCAATTTATGACAATTCAGTTTTATATATAGCTATAGACTGTACTATTTAAACTTTTTTTCGTAATTTAATTATCTTCTAATAATGACGAATAACGGTAAAAATAAAGCGAATTAAGTCTATACTAAAATTAAGGAAATAATAAAAAAAAGTAATACATATATTGCAATTTAAAAATAAAAAGTACCAGAAATATTTTTAAGTGTTACAGAAAAATATTGGAGATTTAACATCTTTTTTACTTATGAATAATAATATTAAATATACAATGTAAAAAAATTAAACCATATGTTCATAGATGTATAGATAATTATGATAGTAAATTATTAAAGGAAAGAAAACTTTTACAAAAAATAATGTAAGAACAAAAAATTTATATTTTATAGATGATTATAAAACAGACAAAATTTTGATTTATTAAAAAATAAATTTAATTTAATTAGAATTTCAATTTAAACTTAAATTCTGCCTTAGAATTACATTGAAAAATAATACTTAGATTTTAATAAATTTCGTATGAAAAAGTGGGGTTCATAGAAGTATTTATGTACATAAATATGTATTAATTTTTAAAGTCATTGTGTAAACAATTTTAAATACTTTGAAAAAATATTTTAGTTAAATTTACTTATTGCATATTCACATTCCCTATAAGAAATTCAATATCTACCAAAAATCGTTAAATTAATAAATAAAATAATTGTTAAGTTAGAAATACTTTTAAACAATTTTATTTTAATAACTTCATTTAATATTTATAATTCTATAAGTATTATTATTCTATAAATATTTGTTGTAATATCAATTTTTTCATTATCAAATGTATACTTAAATATCTTAATTTTTTTTTAATAAATACAATTATTTGAACTTATAAGAAAATATTAATTTACTAATAATTACAATGGAAAGGATAATCAATTTATTATTTAATATTTTAATGAAATAATAAATTATAACATAATTTATTATCGATATGATCTGAAAATTTGATTGAACTATAAATTAATGAAAATTTGCGAGTGATTTAATTATATTATTAGCCATTCCTGTAATTATAGAAACATTTAATTTTAAATCTTTTAATGAATTTAATAAATTTAGATTATAACTACGTATTCGGAGAATAAGATACAAATTTATGTATAATAACAAAATATAAATATATCATTTACAATAAAGATTACTTTTTTTATCAATATATTCAATTCATTCAATTCGAAAACATGTAAATTTTGAAAATAATGATGATACATATGTTGTATTTGAATCTTATTTAACCAAAATTATTAATTATGTTTCGTATTTTTATTAAATTACAATAGTAATTTCATTATTATAATTACATTAGTAATTTCTTATTCAATTACTTTATATATTAAAATTAAAAATATATCTGTTTAATGTGTATCAATTATTCGTATAATAACATATTAATTGTTTATTGTTTTATTATTCAATACTTTTCACTTAGTTATGAATTAAAAATTTATTGTTAAATGTAATTATTGAGCTAATGTTATATTTAATATTTAGTTACAAATTTATAAATGAGATATTCATTTCAACATATTGATATATTTAATTTTAATAAGTTTTAATCAATTTACCGATTACAAATTATTTTATTCAGTAATTTAAGGGTACTAGCAATGTAACTAAATATCACAAGTTCATAGTTATAACCTCTCATTCTTTAAGATCTTCAATAGGCTTCTAAATTTATATACATATATATATATATATAATTGAATGTATATTAATATGCATAGACTACATTATAATTTCATAATTGTATATCTTATTACATTCAAATATTTTTTAATTTACTTTAAATACTTACAAAATTATATAATTTGATAGTCTCTAAAATTTAATGTGAAATGTTCAATTACTACAATATTTTTTCTATATATTTCAACAACAATTTTATATATTTACTGTTAATATTTATTTAATTATTTTAGTTATCACGTTTTGCAACATTGTAGCATATCTTTGTAATATAATTTCTATTTCTAAGTACATTCAGTCATAGGATACTAAGTATTTTGTATAAATATAAAACATAAAATACACAATACATAATTATAAAAAATATATTTTGTTTAAAGTTATTGTTAAAATTGCTAAGTTTTTTTTCAAAGTTATTTGATTCTATAAAGAATTATTTATAATGATATTATTTTGTTTCTCTTAGTATTAAATGTTTATACAACGAACATTGCTTAAAAAGATTAAACTTTTTGTAAGTTAAATAATAAATTGATTATTATGAATAATTTCTTTATATAACATGTTAGAAGGCACAGCGAGACAATATAATATAAATATATAATAAAATTACATAATATATTTCAAACTGACATTGAAATTTGTATCTATAAAAGTATTATTTTATTTTATAAATTGAAGTTAAATTGCAATTATAAAATTAAAGATAATTTTTTAAAACAGTATTTATTAAAAATAATAGACATAACAGTAATTTTTAATAAGTTAAAAATCGTTCTGATATTAAATAGAAGAAAAAAAGCTAAATAAAGAGTAGACGTAGATCTTAGTTTTCTCTCGAATTCTATATGCAAGCTATCTAAGGAATTTAGTAGAATAGAAAAGAAAATAAGAGGATAAAAGTGTAGGAGAGACGATGTGAAAGCATCAATATTTTCCAATCCAATCAGCATTCGATTGCTCGCCTTACTTGACAGAGCAACTCCAATGGGGACTCGCCATAAAGTGTAGGCGTAGATAATAGTAGATGCCACATAGCAGGCATAGCGTTGCGAGACTTCGTCGTTATATTGCATTATTAATCATCCCCCGCATCTTATCACCCTTGCATTCCATGATTATGAAGGTTTTATCTAAAAGGCTAACT